TACATACACACTACGACAACACACACACACATACACACACACACACATATATATATATATATATATATATGTACACACACACACACAGGCACGCATATATATATATATATATATATTTCAGAGGCTGTACCTGGAATACCACACAAGCCATCGGTTCATTTCGATGCCATGTGCGTCAATACCAGCTTTTGCGGCTGCAATCACCACCCTCCCATCTCCAGACCCCATATCCACTATATTTCTGTGCTTGACAAATTGGCAGCAAAAAGGTTAGCATTGGACCATTGAGCTTGGATTAGTTTTGGCTTTGATGGGGAAGCAACAGTTCATTGATCGGACAGGTACTCGGAAGTACGTTTGTCATTGTGGCTCAAAGAATTGGAATATAATAGAACGTATGACAACTAGGAGTTCCTACTTTGAAGCGCTTTAGACTGGCGATCTAAGGCGTCTGATAGCACAGTCTAGTGCCATCAGTGTTTAGACACAGCCTGTATCATTCTCCCTTCGTCTCTACTGATAGTACTTCACCTATATCATTATATCTTCATCTCCAATAAAATGTACCTATATCATATTTCCTTCATGCCTACTGAACCTATATCATCTACCTTCACCTCTACCGGTAGATAAGTTAAGTATGTGTGCGACTATACTGTACGATATTAACCTGCGCGCTAGTAAAAGGTGTCAGCTGAAGACACCTACAAACACAAAGGCGATTCATATAACGTACGCATATATATACATACAAATGTATACGTGTCTCCGAGATACGTGTATAGCGCCCCATGACTCACCTTCCCTTTGGGTTCCGATTGGCTAAACACATATTGATCTGTCGGTTCGTTGCAGACACAAACGGCAAGCAATTCTTTCTGAACGCCGGCATGACAAAGGGGAGTGCTCCTGCAATGATCCCAGCTAACACTACCCCCGTGCCTACTAAGGCTGCCTGGCCCACCACTCTGTATAGGAAATGTTCATGTAGAATAAAAGAGAGGTAGTATTAGGATTGATACATATTTTGAGGTGATTTAAGAACGCGTTAATATGTATGTATTTTTAGACGAAACTACATTTATACATATTTATATATATACATTTGTAGATATGCATATATATATATATATAATAGAAAAATATAATATATCTATATACACACACACAACACAAAACACACACATATATATACGAACATATATATATATATATATATATTTATATATACATATACATATACATATATGTATACATGGATACATATCTATCTATATATATTTATATATACAAACAAGCAGAGTGACAGATGTAGACCAACACACACACCACCCCACCGTCCCACCGACCCACACATGCATACATACAAACATATATATATATATTTCTATATATATATACCTTTATATATATATGTATATATATGTATATATATTCATATACATACATATATATATATATATATTATACACACACACACACACACACACATATATATATATATATTATATATATATATATATATATATATATATACATATATAAATAATAATAATAACGTAAATATATAAGTTATTATTATATATATAATAAATATATAAGAATAGTTATAAAGTAATATATAAGTAATAATATTATATTATATATATATAATAT